TGTGTGTGCTTGTGTGTGTGATGGATGTCAATCTCTCCCCCTCCCTTGTCACTCTCTTCTCCCCCCTCTCCCTCCCTTGTCACTCTCTTCTCCCCCCCTCCCTCCCTTGTCACTCTCTTCTCCCCCCTCTCCCTCCCTTGTCACTCTCTTCTCCCCCCCTCCCTTGTCATATTCTTGTCCACCCTCCCTCCCTTGTCACATTCTTCTCCCCCCCTCCCTTGTCACTCTCCTCTCCCTCCGTTGTCACTCTCTTCTCCCCTCCCCCTCCCCACTCTCATTCCCCCTCCCTGTCAATTTCTCCCTCCCTGTCAATTTCTCCCTCCCCCATCCCTGTCAATTTCTTTCTCCCACCCCCTGCCAGTTTCTTCCTCCCCATCAATTTCTTTCTCCCCCCTTCAATTTCTTCCTCCCCCTCCCTCCCCCTGTCAATTTCTTCCTCCCCCCCTTCAATTTCTTCCTCCCCCTCCCCCCTATAAATTTCTTCCTCCCCCTTATCAATTTCTTCCTCCCCCTTCAATTTATTCCTCCCCCTGTCAATTTCTTCCTCCCCCTTCAATTTCTTTCTCCTCTCCCGGCTAATTTCTTTTCCTTCCCTTCACTTTCTTCTCCTCCCTCCCTCCTCTGTCAATTTCTTACTCCCCTTCATAATTTCTTTTCCTCCCTCCTCCTGTCAATTTCTTACTCCCTCTTCACTTCTTTTCCTCCTGTCAATTTCTTCCTCCCCTGCCACTTATCCCCACCTCCTCATAGGCGTGCCGAAAGAACCGGCTGGCAGGGAACTTTGTTTCTGTACCTGCCGTGGGATTAAAAAGGGAGGTGTACTACTGTGCAAATGTGTGTATTTTGTTAGTCTCGCTGGGTATAGGAGATAAGATGCTCGTACCTGCATTTGGCAGGGCCAGCTACGCTACAGGGAGCAGTGAGGGAGCGCTGAGCGCTTTCCTGTCAGCTCTCACGCTGCGCTGGGCAAGCGTGGTATGAGGGGCGCTGTATGGAAGTGGGGAGATTTTCCATAATTCTGTCCTCTCTGCATGATTTGCTGGGGAGGATGCGTCCCCCCATCCCCCCCCCCCGGTTCCTATGCCCATGCCCTGATCTATATATTGCATAATTGAAGGGGATTATGTCTGTTCGGAGTGTCTGTTTAACTTGATGTACAAATGGTTGGATACTTTTTTTTAGTAAAGCACTGTGATTGGATCAGGCTACCACTTCTGATGATGTCAGCAGACTGCTTGTTTTTTTTTAGGCAAACAGCATGCAGATCTACAGCTTCTGGCTTGAATACAGTAAGATTTTTGCTATATTTATGGAGACATGAGTGGCCCAGGGGGGCTAGATGGTGGTTTTAACACTATAGGGTTAGGAATACATGTTTGTGTTCCTGACCCTATAGTGATCCTTTAAGACTACAATAAACCAAAAGCAAACAAAAACCTACTCCTTTTAGAAGACTAAACAGGGGTATTTCCTTTCTAATAGTACTGGCCAGCTAAGCTGGTTCCCAGTCACAAAATAATAAACAGCACAAAGTTTTTCTTATTACTAAGGCTCAAATTCACACTCTCTCTGTGTCTGTGATATCGCCCCATCCCAATCAAAAATGTCAGTGTTTTTTTTTTGTTTTTTCAAGATCAATTTCAATCATTTCTTTTGTCTGAATTTCCATTAAATAATATTTCATGTTTAGTTTATACAGTCTGTTAAAAAAAATTTGAATCAGAAACATATATTGCATACAAGCATTGTACTCAAATGAGATTAAGGCAAAATATGTAGTGTCACATTCAGAAGAAATACAGTTGCAAGAAAAAGTATGTGAGCCTTTTGGAATGATATGGATTTCTGCACAAATTGGTCATAAAAAGTTATTTCTGCCAAAGGAGGTTCAACCAGTTATTAAATCCAAGGGTTCACATACTTTTTCCACCTGCACTGTGAATGTTTACATGGTGTGTTCAATAACAACATGGCAACATTTCATTCTTTGTGTGTTATTACAGGGAGTGCAGAATTATTAGGCAAATGAGTATTTTGACCACATCATCCTCTTTATGCATGTTGTCTTACTCCAAGCTGTATAGGCTCGAAAGCCTACTACCAATTAAGCATATTAGGTGATGTGCATCTCTGTAATGAGAAGGGGTGTGGTCTAATGACATCAACACCCTATATCAGGTGTGCATAATTATTAGGCAACTTCCTTTCCTTTGGCAAAATGGGTCAAAAGAAGGACTTGACAGGCTCAGAAAAGTCAAAAATAGTGAGATATCTTGCAGAGGGATGCAGCACTCTTAAAATTGCAAAGCTTCTGAAGCGTGATCATCGAACAATCAAGCGTTTCATTCAAAATAGTCAACAGGGTCGCAAGAAGCGTGTGGAAAAACCAAGGCGCAAAATAACTGCCCATGAACTGAGAAAAGTCAAGCGTGCAGCTGCCACGATGCCACTTGCCACCAGTTTGGCCATATTTCAGAGCTGCAACATCACTGGAGTGCCCAAAAGCACAAGGTGTGCAATACTCAGAGACATGGCCAAGGTAAGAAAGGCTGAAAGACGACCACCACTGAACAAGACACACAAGCTGAAACGTCAAGACTGGGCCAAGAAATATCTCAAGACTGATTTTTCTAAGGTTTTATGGACTGATGAAATGAGAGTGAGTCTTGATGGGCCAGATGGATGGGCCCGTGGCTGGATTGGTAAAGGGCAGAGAGCTCCAGTCCGACTCAGACGCCAGCAAGGTGGAGGTGGAGTACTGGTTTGGGCTGGTATCATCAAAGATGAGCTTGTGGGCCTTTTCGGGTTGAGGATGGAGTCAAGCTCAACTCCCAGTCCTACTGCCAGTTCCTGGAAGACACCTTCTTCAAGCAGTGGTACAGGAAGAAGTCTGCATCCTTCAAGAAAACATGATTTTCATGCAGGACAATGCTCCATCACACGCGTCCAAGTACTCCACAGCGTGGCTGGCAAGAAAGGGTATAAAAGAAGAAAATCTAATGACATGGCCTCCTTGTTCACCTGATCTGAACCCCATTGAGAACCTGCGGTCCATCATCAAATGTGAGATTTACAAGGAGGAAAACAGTACACCTCTCTGAACAGTGTCTGGGAGGCTGTGGTTGCTGCTGCACGCAATGTTGATGGTGAACAGATCAAAACACTGACAGAATCCATGGATGGCAGGCTTTTGAGTGTCCTTGCAAAGAAAGGTGGCTATATTGGTCACTGATTTGTTTTTGTTTTGTTTTTGAATGTCAGAAATGTATATTTGTGAATGTTGAGATGTTATATTGGTTTCACTGGTAATAATAAATAATTGAAATGGGTATATATTTGTTTTTTGTTAAGTTGCCTAATAATTATGCACAGTAATAGTCACCTGCACACACAGATATCCCCCTAACATAGCTAAAACTAAAAACAAACTAAAAACTACTTCCAAAAATATTCAGCTTTGATATTAATGAGTTTTTTGGGTTCATTGAGAACATGGTTGTTGTTCAATAATAAAATTAATCCTCAACAATACAACTTGCCTAATAATTCTGCACTCCCTGTAGTTTAAGCAGACTGTGATTGTCTATTGTTGTGACTTAGATGATGATCAGATCACATTTTATGACCAATTTGTGCAGAAATCCATATCATTCCAAAGGGTTCACATACTTTTTCTTGCAACTGTATAAAACCTTGATGGGACTAATTTTAAATGTGACGGCACGTGATGTGAGGGGGACATGCGGCAGTGAAGGTGTAAGAGGGACATGGGGGAGGGGGTGTAAGAGCGACATGGGGAAGCAGGGGGACATGGGACAGCAGAATGTGTTTGAGGGGGAAATGGAGCAGCAGGAGGTGTGATGGGAACACAGGGCAACAGAGGGGCATGGAGCAACAGGGGGACATGGAGCAGCAGGGGGTGTGAGGATGACATGTAGCAACAGGGGGACATTGAGTAGCAGGGGGTGTGATGGGGAGATGTGGCAATAGAAGACATGTGGCAACGGGAGGTGGGAGGTATGAGACCGGCCATGCTACAAGAATTGACCGTCAGACTAAAAGCGCTGTAGATTTTCGCTAAGCTCCAGGTACACCCCAGGTCTATTATCAGCAGCTTAGTGAAAAAAATATCAAGGCTAAATTGGGTTGGTTAGTTTTAAATTACGTAGCAGCTGAAGCTGCTCCTGGTATTTATCCTAGCTTTCACATTTATGTCAATTTGTGCGCACAGGGCCATCTCTAACAAGGGGCAAAAGGGGCAGCTGCCCCGGGCCCAGTTATTCCTGGGGGGCCAAAAGCAGTGGCCCCCTGAGCATGCGACAATTTAATCAGGGGCCCCGTGGCCCTTTAAAATTCCTCCCGGCCTGCTGGGAGGAAGTAAGTTCAGGACAGGTCACTTCCTCCCAGCTAAAAGAGTGCCGTGCAGGTAGGAGGAGAATGGACCACATGCAGATAAGGAGAGGAACTGAGGAAGCCTGGTGCCTCAGACTTTCATCAGCCTAGGTCAGCCAGCTCCCACTGGACCCCATGGAAGCCACCCTTCTGCATCAAAAATAATTGTTATGTGTATGTACCTGTGTATATGAGGTTGGGCATATATGTGTGTATGTGCACCTGTGTGTCTATGTTTGTGTACCTGTATGTCTGTGTATGTGTACCCATTTGCCTGTGTATATGTACATGTTTATGTGTAGTTGTGTCTCAATGTGTACCTGTGTGTCTGTGTATGTGTACCTTTTTGTTTATTTCTACCTATGTGTCTGTGTTTGTGCACCTTTGTGTATATGTACCTGTGTGTCTGTGTATATGAACCTGTGTGTATGTGTACCTGTTTGTGTATGTTTAGCTGTGTGTCTGTATATGTGATTTTGTGTTTCAGAGGGTATTTGTACCTGTGTGTCTGTGTACCTGTTTGTGTATGTGTACCTGTATGTATGTGTACCTGTTTGTGTATATTTACCTGTGTGTCAGAGTGTATGTGTACCTGTGTGTGTCTGTATGTTTCTGAGTGTGTGTGCATAACTGCGTGTGTGGAAGTGCACACATCCCAGCATTCCAATGCCAACACTGCACAAAAATACACTCTGCATATGTACCTGTGTGTATCTGAGTGTGTGAGCATATCTGTGCAAGTGTGTGGCAAATAATACACCCCTGTATTCCAATGCCAACACTGCACACAAATATACCCCTCTATTCCAAAGCTAACACTGCACACAAATACACCTCTGTCACTCCCAAACATATTGTCACCTCTCACATACTGTCAACCCCCCACACAGTCACTCCCCCCACACATACTGTCACCTCCTTTACACATACTGTCACCTCCTTCACTCATACTGTCACCTCCTTCACTCTGCCACACTCACATTAACTCTGTCACGATATCTAGTGACCCAACACGCAGAGTGTATATATGATAGACTAGACAACGTTTACCGGTCCTTAGAATGGCCAGGTTATACGCAGGGCCGGTGCAAGGATTTTTGTCGCCCTAGGCAAAAGAATAATTTGCCACCCCCCCCCCCCCCCCATGTGACATCACAATACCCCACCCATATGATCTGCCATATGAACTAACGCCAGTGCTGCCCACAGTGTGTGTTTACATTAAAAAGCCTGCAGGGACAGGCTATAGACACCGGAACCACTTCATTAAGCTGCAGTGGTTCTGGGGACTATAGTTTTCCATTTAATGTGAGGTAAATTAGAGATTAGTGTCACTAATAATATACTAGATTGCCTACTTACAACCAGATAAGGATGGTGATGGGCAATGGCTGCAGTTTTGCTCCACTGGTCTGGTGTAGAACAGGCTCTCTGGCTGTTTGTAACTGTGGTCACAAAATTCAATGTTCTGGGGGAACGTGAAGCAGCTCCATTTTTTGGGGCCCCTTACACAGCTCAAGGTCTGGGCCCCAGGGCCTGACGGTGAGTATGCCCATATGCCCACCTATATGTTCCAGCCATGAGTTTGCTCACAGGGAATGGAGTGTGTAGGGGATGTGTTATGTGTTATTGTAGAGGATCTAATGTGTATGCTTATGGAATGTAGTGTATAGGGATACCAGTTTGTGTAGGTGATGCAGTGTGTTTGTGTGTAGTGGAAGCAGTGTGTGTTTGTGTACAAGGGATGTATTGTGTGTTTCTGGTTGTGTGTAAGGGATGTATTGTGTGAATCTCTGTTTGTATGCATAAGGGATGCAAGGTGTGTGCCTGTAAGTGTGTGCATTGAGTGTGTGTAAGAAATGCATTGTGTTTCTGTGTGTATGTAAGAGAAGCAGTGTGTGTTTGCATGTGTGTGTAAGGGATGCATTGTGTTTCTGTGTATGTGTGCAAAGGATGCGTTGTCTTTGTGTGTAAGGGTTGCATTGTGTGTGTGTAATGGGTGCATTGTGTGTTTCTCTTTATGTAAGGATAGCGTGTTGTGTTTCTGTGTGTGTAGGGATGCATTGTGTGTTTCTGTGTATGTATAGGGATGTATTGTGTGTGTGTGCGCGTAGTGTGAAATAGCTCCCTGTCCCTTAGAGCTCTCCCCTGCCCCTTAGTGGTCTCTCCTCTCCCCCCACCCTCCCCTAGCGGTCTCTTCTCACACCCACCCACTCTTCCTGTGTTCTTCTCATCCCCCCACCCTCCCTGTGTGCTCCTCACCTCCCTCCCTGTGTTCTCCCACCTCCCATCTTCTCACCCCTCCTGTGTTCTTCACCCCACCCTCTGTGTTCTTCTCACTCCCTCCCTGTGTTGTTCTCACTCCTGTCTTCTTAACCTCCCTCCCTGTGTCTTCCTCACCTCCTCCCCTTCTCCTCACCTCCCCTTCTCCTCACCCCCTCTCCCGTGTTCTTCTCACTCCCTCCTTGTGTTCTTCTCACTCCCCCATGTTCTTCTCACCTCCCCCTGTTCTTCTCACTCCCCGTGTTTTTCTTCTCACCTCCCACTTCTCACCTCCCCATGTTCTCCTCATTTCCCTTCTCCTCACCTCCCTGTCTTCTTACTCACTCTCCTCTCTCACCCTCCCTGTGTGTTCTTCTCACCCCTGTGTTATCCTCATCTCCTTTCTCCTCACCCCCCGTGTTCTTCTTACTCCCCCTGTTTTCTTCTTACTCCCACCTTTTTCTTCTTACTCCCCTCCCCCCTTCTTCTTACTCTCCCCTCACCCCTCTTCTTCTTACTCCCCCTCCCCTCACTCAGTGTGCACTTCCTATCAGTCTGGCCGGGTCCGCGAACTGGAGAGGCGCTCGTCCACGCTACAGGGAAAGGTAGGTGAGGAGAGGAGCAGTGCAATCGACTGCAGCATTTAAAGGGCCAGCGATGAGGCGCAGGGTGCCCCCTCCTATATGGCAGCTGCCTAGTTCGCCTAATAGGAAGTGCTGGCCCTGCCTGTGTTCTCCTCACCTCCCCTGCTCCTCACCCTCTCTCCTGTGTTCTTCTCACTACACCCTTCCCTATGTTCTTTTCACCTCCTCCCTCCCTGTGTCTTCCTCACCTCCCCCCTCCATGTGTTCTCCTCACCCCCTCTCCCGTGTTCTTCTCACCCCCCACCCTCCATGTGTTCTTTCACTCCCCTTGTGTTCTTCTCCTCCCCCGTGTTCTCTCCCCCCCCTCCTGTGTTCTTCTCACCTCCCCGTGTCTTCCTCACCTCTAGCCTCTCTGTGTTCTCCTCACCTCCCCTCCTCCTCACCCCCTCTCCCTGTGTTCTTCTCACTCCCCCCCTCCCTGTGTTCTTCTCACCTCCCTCACTAAGTGTGCACTTCCCATCAGTCCGGCCGGGTGCCTAGTTCGCCTTATAGGAAGCGCCAGCCCTAGTTATACGTTGTTAGAATAAGAATGGTCAGGGACAAGCCGAGTCAGGGAAGCCAGAAATCAGGGAAGCGAAAAACTAATAGCAGAGTCAGGGAGAACGGAACAGAGAATAATCAGGAGAAAGCCAAAATACCAAAATAGACAGAATATAAAGCACTCTTGGGAACTGTAAACAGAAACCACAAGAGGGCAATGACCAGCACCCTAAATGTTCTTTTTATAGTCTATGCCTTACACTGATAGCTATGCCCCCAAAATGTTCAAATTTGTATGTTTTGGCGGGCTGTGATGTCATTAGCGTCATGACATTGGTGCTCATGAGCCTCGTCATAAAAAGAGGCGGGGTTACAACAGCCGGCATCGGAACCACAGGTAAGATGAGAGGGACTGTGAGAAGGGTCTCTTTCCCCTTCATGGAACAGCCAGGGCAACATAAGGTAATGTGACAAACTCCCCCAATCCTGTCACTCATACCCATGCCATACTCACCTCTTTACTGTGATATTTGTTAATGGGCACACTGACTGTCAAATTTATTAATGGGAAAACTTAGTGTGATATTTATTAATTGGAAAACTGACTGTGGTGTGTATTAATGGGCACACTGGCTGTTGTATTTTTCAATTGGCACCTGGCTTAGCATATGTTTAATGGGCAAACAGACTGTGGCATGTTCTGTGGGGCAAAGTGACGCTGCCAACAGGCAGGTTTTGTGTGTTGTTAAATTGCCACTGTGCCAAGTGCTGTGGAGCAATGTGGAAATTTACATGAGTTATTGTGACACATATAAGTGCTGTGGGGGAGTATGGCACTGTGGCAAGCGCTGTGGTGGCAGTGTGACCTTTCTGCAAGTGTTATGGTGCATGGTGACCCAGTAGCCATATATTTTTGCTTGTGGTGTGCCTTGGGTGAGAAAAGGTTGAGGAGCACTGACATTTGATGTTTGTTTGTGGGTTTTTTTGTGGCTGGCGTAATTGCATGCTAGGGGGTGGGAGGGTGGTGTCCAGGGGACCCAAGCAAATGCTTGCCCAGGGTCCAATCTAAATTAAAGACGGCCCAGTGTGCGCATGTGCCATTTTCCCATTTATAAAACTTATTACACCATATTTTACATGATTTCTCTTTCTGATTATTTTTTGTAATGCTCAAAAAATATTTCTGTTTCTGTCACTTTTTAATTATCTCTTTTTTTGTGTGGTGATTTTACATGACATTCACAAAGTAAGACAAGTGAGTAATATTCGGGGAAGAAAAGACGCATTTTAACCACTCAGTGGTAGAAAAATTTGTTGGCAAAAAAAGGCACAATCTGAAACCTTGGTTTTAGGAGTGACACATTTGTGAACTGGGGAATAAAATATAAACAAACAAAAATGGACAGGAAAAAAGAATGACGGAAGAGGCACAGTAAAATTTTTGTGCAAATAAGGGAATATATATATATATATTCACATAGGTGCAAACAGGAAAAGTGCCTGGAAAAAAAGCCTAAAATTGAGAACAACACTTTTTATAATTAAGCAATTTATTTATTTATTTTCTACTTGTATTAGGACTATAACAGTAATGGGATCTACTAAAAATAATAACAGAATGGAATGCCCATAGACAATAATGGAGCAAACAGGATTGCCGATAGAGTATATCAAAACCATTCAACATATCAAATAAATCGTTAGCGTACCGTTTAATATTGAGAATAAATGGGACAACACATTACACGAACTCTGACTAGTTCTTAACAAATTGAATGCAAAATTCCAGCAGCCTTAACTACAAATCCCGGCATGCCTTGCCAGTCCTACGGTAAGTAGGAATGCCGGGATTTGTAGTTTAAATGTGAAGTCTGGGGATTCCGAATCTAGGTATAGAATTTTTCACTAGGAATCCTCACAGAATCACAAACATACAATGCTTGGGACGTTCCATTTCTAGTCACGCGGTGGGCATATTGTTGTTCCCAAGTCCCCTCTAATGTAACACGCTTCCTGGTTCGGGGCCCTTACTACAGGCTGGGGCTTCCTCTTCCTTGCTCCTCCCAATTCTACCGCCACGTCAGGCCTGTGCAGGTCTGTGTGATCAGTGCTGCACACCCACCATCCCTGGGCTGCTGCTGGCGGTAGGTACATTAGGTTTGAGGAGGGAAGGTTCCTGTGTGTTCCAGTGGGGTGCTAGGCTGTCTGTGCCCTGGGAGGGGGTAAATTGTGACTGCTGTGAATTCTTACTCTCCCCTCCTTAATCCCCAAGTGCCCCTGTCCCATACTGTACCCTATTCTATTGTATGATTTGTCTTGATGTGTGCACTCATTAAGTGCTGGTGGTCCATTATAGGGAGCTGTAAGGCTGAAGCATGGAGAGTCTGTACCGTATGCCATTCACTGTGCTGGAATGCCCCAACTTGAAGCTGAAGAAGCCTTCTTGGCTGCATATGCCCTCTGCTATGACAGTCTATGCCATGGTGGTGGTATCCTATTTTCTCATCACAGGAGGTAAGGCAGATCAATTCAGTTCGTGCAATCTCTGCACCATATACCGTAATAACATGACTTCCCAAATCTCTGCATTGTACTGTATTGTCTGTAATTTTGTATTTTGAATTAATCAATTTGGGGATGTGTGAAAGAATAACTACTTTTTCTGTAGTTTGATATATTATGCTAAACTACTAAATTTCTATTAGCTGTTGTGTAGCGTACAGTCCATATCACTGAACAATGAAGTGAGGTGGCAACTGGACTCCTGTTCAGTATGTAATGAGATGCCAAATTGAAATGTCCCAATGGTGACAAGATACACCGCCTCTCAATTTACATACAATGTAGCAACCTGTCTTATAGCCTAGCTATAGTCTATTGATCATAACAAATTATGTTTTAAAGGGGAACTCAAGGAAGTTACTGCTCCCCCCCCCCTCCCCCCACACACACACACCAAAATAACAGCAGCTTATTGTCGTTCTTCTGGTGTCTATAACTTGCCTATGCAGGCTTTTTAATGTTTTAAATGTTGAGAGAAAAGGCAGCATTTACATTACTGCTTAGTAATACCTCTAGAGCCAGTCACCAGATGTGCTTTTCTGCGCTGGTGTTCAGCATCTCCAGCGTCTCAGCTCTGAACATTCCCCATATAGATGTATTGATTCAATGTTGACTGGTGCAGCGCAGCATTTTGGCGCACATGCTCCATCGCACCCAATGACTTGGTGATCTTAGCCATGGTGGCGGACTGAGGCGGAGCCGGCTACGGCAAGACCAGCGTGGTATGGGAGAAAAGATGACTAAAATCACCTTACACCTTTTTTACCTCAAAAAGAGGGGGACTGGGGACCTAAACAGTTATTTTATCACTATAGTGTCATTTGTCTTTGTGTTTCTGATACTATAGTGTTCCTTAGAGTTTACAATGCATTATTAGCCAGGTGAATGCAGGGAAACAGGAAGGGAGTGGAAGCTGGAACAAACAACTTTTCCCTTGCAGGCAATGCTGCAATTGAGAAGCTCATTATGTCTGCTGCCTGCACACTGTGCATGCTGGAGACCTTTGCACAGAATCGATATTATTCAGCCTAGAACAGAAGTCATGTGTGCCGGGGGGGGGAACGTGCACATTAGTCAATAAGCGGCGCTCCTGCCCAGCGGAGAGGTATAATAATGCTGAACTGTCACCTCCACATTATCAATGTCTGTTCTATCCAATCTGGAAAGTATTGATCAGTACCATGCAAGTTAGATGGAATTAACAGTTTACAAAGATATTGATTTAAAGGACCACTCTAGGCACCCAGACCACTTCAGCTTAATGAAGTGGTCTGGGTGCCAGGTCCCTCTAGGATTAAACCATTTTTTTTTTTTTTTATAAACATAGCAGTTTTAGAGAAACTGCTATGTTTATAAATGGGTTAATCCAGCCTCTAAAGCCTCTAGTGGCTGTCTCATTGACAGCCGCTAGAGGCGTTTGCGTGCTTCTCACTGTGAAAATCACAGTGAGAAGACGCCAGCATCCATGGGAAAGCATTTTGAATGCTTTCCTATGAGACTGGCTGAATGCGCGTGCAGCTCCTGCTGCGCATGCGCATTCAGCCTGAGAGGAGGAGGAGAGCTCCCTGCCCGGCGCTTGAAAAAAAGGTAAGATTTAACCCTTTCCTCGCCATCCAGCCTGGCAGGAGGGAGACCCTGAGGGTGGGGGCACCCTCAGGGCACTATAGTGCCAGGAAAACGAGTATGGTTTCCTGGCATTATAGTGGTCCTTTAAATGGTGAAACAATGCCAGGACATTCTTGGCAACATAACCAGTATGGCGAACTGTAGTGATTATGTTGTTTAAACTATAGTAAAGCTGCTATTAACTGCTAGGTGTCTGTAAAGAAGGGGCTCCACATATATCTATTCCGCTGTAGTTGGCTGTTTTCAAGCACCATGATCACTACAATACACTGTAGTGGTGATAGTGTCTGGGGCGCCTTTCCATTCTACATGGTTAAACTGTTAAAGAATGGTTTGACAACTTACCTGGGGTCTGCTGAGCACCTTCCACTGACTCTCATAGATATGGAAGCTTTCTAAGGAGCTTCCCTTAACTGCATTGAGTATTATCAGCCAGACTTATCTCTGTGTAGGAGCTTCCTTTTCACTGGAGGTGGCAGCAGGCAGGACCTGGCTCACTGTAGCTAATGGCAGCTCCTTGAGGGAGCTTTTTGGTTTCAGGACATGACTGGCACATTGCAAGTCCCAAGTAAGTTGTCAAACCATTCCTAAATAGACTACTGGGAGAGACACCAGGTCACTCCTAGCACCTTAACCACTATAGTGGGATGTAATGGTTATGGTGCTTGGAGCATTCTTTTCATGCTTTGCAGCTCAAGATTAGGAGTCTGCAGCGTGCCAGATTTCTGTTGAGTCAGTGTGGTTTCTTGATTTCACTGTCTATACCGTAAATCTTTTCTAGTCCTGATAATTTTTCTGGTGTCATCCTTACGTGATTCTATTAATTTTAGGAAGGTATCCCAAATGTTCAATTTGCAGGGTTAAGACAGCATCTAATGGCTATCTTCCAGATAGCCACTAAATGCGCTGTGTGCGTTCTTACTCCGTGAAAATGATGTTGGACGGCATCACGCTTTGCATGAGGACATCCAGCATCTTCCAAAAAAAAAAACATAGGAAAGCATAGATCCAGTGCTTTCCTATGGGGAAGGTCTAATGCGCACTCAGGACTCACTGCACATGCGTGTCAGGTTTCCACCATCAGCGTGACGTCTCGTGGAAGATGAGACCTATTCGGTGCCATGGGACCTCAGCACTGGAATTAAGGTATATGGAAAAAGGGTTTTTAACTCTTTAATCACCGGGTGGGAAGAAGGTGCAGAGGGACACTATAGCATTAGGAAAACACATTTGTATTCCTTACATTATTGTGCTCCTTCAATAATTTATTTTATAAATTAAAAGGTGTTTTATTTATTTTTTAAATAAACATTTTGTTTTAGGTCAGATTAGTAACCGTGTACTCTAAAGGGATTTCCTAAGCTCCAAAACCACTACATATTAAAGTAATGTTTTTGGTGCATAGACCCTGTCAGACTGACCGCTTAAAGGCTCTTCTTCATAAAGACCTTGGAAAATCAAAGGTTTTCGGCATCATTCTTGCTGGATTCAATTCATCTGATTGGTGGAGCTCAGCAATTGGTGTGCATGTGCCATAGGTAGGTATCAAGTTCTTGATTTGTAATAGAGGTCATCGTTAATGTTGTTTAGTATGTGCGCTGTACAAGGTTAAAGATCCCCCCCGCCCCTCATTTTCCCCTTTTCAATTTTGCCAAGGGTAGTGATATTTACCTCGATGTTCAAAACACATCTTCAATGAAGTATCCGGTTTTATCCTTTTTTTTTTATGTCTATCTGGGGCCTTAGGACTGCTAAATAAGAGGAAAAAAATAAAATATATACACACACTTTATTTAGCCCTTGCAGCTAGTTACATTTAATAAACCTCTATTATCATTTCCTTTGGGGATATCTTTCAGACCAATATAGAGCATCAAAACCTGTTCACTGTGAAGCAGTAGACCTGGGAATAGAACTCTTGTTTTTCATCCATTGTCCTTTTGATCTGGATACAACTGATCTGTATAGCTCAGCATATTTGAATGGCTAGCCTATGGTTTGCTGCTGCCCTTGAGTGGCAATTTCTGTGTAATACATTCCTCTGAGATATATATATATATATATATATGTTTTTCTTCTCTCAACTATAATTGAGTCTAACATAGGTTAAACACAGATGTTAAAGTATGTACTTTATGTAAGTGACCACAACTGTTTCAACAAAATGCATACTTTTTATTTTATTTTTTAATTTCTGTTAAATTCTTTTCAATTTTTTGGGGGGGTGGGGGAAGGTTAAATTGTTGCACATCATTATTGAAGGCTTAATGCTGTTTTTGATTTTGTGTGTTTTTAGGAATAATATATGATGTGATTGTAGAGCCACCTAGTGTTGGATCAATGACAGATGAACATGGTCATCAAAGGCCTGTGGCTTTCTTAGCCTACAGGTAAGCCTTGAAAATGTCTTTTACCCTATTAATAATTTTCAATATTGCCATAAAATGTTTTTTTAATCCTGGTTTGCTGTTTATTAGAAATTATTCCGTTTTAAAAGCATATTAATAAATGCTTTAATTGTCAGACTATAATGCGCCTACAATATAATGCTGAACATTATACATTCTTTAAAAGGGCTTTGAACTTGTTGGCCACTAAGTATTCAGGTAAGGGACAGGACCGGATTTCCCATTAGGCAGAGTAGGCACCTGTAAAAAGGCCCCTGTCCTCTAGGGGCGCCTCTTTTCAGCTCTTATAATGCTCCTTTGTGAAATGCAAGTGGGGTGTTAGGGAAAGATAAGTACCCAGAGCCTTTGCCTGTGTCCTCAGTAGTCCAGTCAGCCTCCTATGCTTGATTGCAGGTCTTCAGGAACAGTTATGGAGAGTGTGAAACTCAGAGCTCTGCCAGCTCCTACAGTGTGCTGGGTAGGAAGTGTAAAGGATCACTTCCCACCTGCCCGTTAATAGCTTCTCACATAGGAAATCCATTGCAGGAGGAGCAGGGACAGCACTGAGTATGCATACTGTATGACCGCTATTGCAACGCCAATATTAATCATAAAAGGCTGACTGAACTACAGAAGTCATAGGAGAGTGAGTAATTTGCAAATAAACATTAATTCTCCAAAAGCCCTAAACACCCTTTTCCCCTACACTAAATTGAACCCCTCCCAAAACGTAAGCATTTTAGCATTTAAAGCCTAAACCTGAAAAACCATATACCTTAATCTTAGGTTAATGTGTACTAAACACCCCATGTACCTCAATACTAACCTTAGCCCAAAATCTAACCCTAAACTGAATAATTCTAAACACCCCTAATACTACAACTATAACTCATCTCTATGTAAGCTAACTTTGACATTAACCCTTCTATAACCTTAACCCCTTAAGGACACATGATGGAAATATTCCGTCATGATTCCCTTTTATTCCAAAAGTTGTGTCCTTAAGGGGTTAAACCCTCCTTTACTCTTACCTAACATAACATAACACGATCTTTAACCATGCATGTATTTACATAGATGTAGCTGGGCATGGGGTGTCAGGGGGCACCTTAGAATTATGTGCCGATAGGCCCCTGACATTGAAATCTAGCCCTTAGCAGAACTATAACTGTTTTTTTAGCCCTCTAACTATTTACAAAACTCTATGGGGTTTTTAGCAACCTGTTTAAAATGGAACTGTTCCCCTTATTTAGAGAGCAGAGTAATACAGAGCTGCTGTTATTAAAGAAGAAACTCTTTCAGTGTTGCAGGAAGTTTTTTTTTTTAGAAACCACATTGTGATAGTAACTTGGCATGTCACAGGCCCTTTAGGGTTTGGCGTAATCTGGATTGTGGTTGTAGCAGAATACTAAAGAAGAAAGACCTGTGTTTTATGGTCTGTGCATGCAGACCCATTTCCTTTCCTTTAAATTATAACAGCAGTTTGTCTTCCATATATCACAAGACTAAAAATAGGGATATTAAATCTTTATTCTGACATTATGTTGTATATGAAACACATAGTTAAACAATTTCAAAGATGTCCCTTTTCTGTTCTGATACATGATTTGCATTTATTCTTTAATGCTCTACTGCAGTGTTTCTAAACCAGTCCTCAAGACCAACAAACAGTCCAGTTTTTGTCAGTATTTCCATTGGAATAAATCCTGGATTGTTGGTGGCCCATGGGGCCTAGTTTGGCAACAACTGCTTCTACTACAAACTTATGATAGTAACTACAGAACTCATCACTTTCTTACTTAGAGACCAATACTATGCACACCATAGAGAACTCCTATAACCCTGTGAAACATGACTTTGGTTCTGATCAAACCCAGATAGACTCTAGCTGTTAAAATTATCCTTCCTTAATGTATGCAGGCACAGCAGCGGTTTCAGCATAGAGTAAAAAGAGGCAATATTCTGTCACATCTTTTCCCACTGATTCCTTGTTAAGTTGTATAATAAATATTTCATTATCTTTAGGGGTGTCCTTGTCATTATTTTCCTTCTTCAGGTCCCAAAGCCTTATTTCTCATCACAAGACTGTTAATTACTATAGTTGTGTACATTTATTTTGTGTTCCCTGATCACTGTTGTTTTGGATTTCTGCAGGGTGAATGGACAGTATATTATGGAAGGCTTGGCATCAAGCTTCCTGTTTACTATGGGAGGTCTAGGATTCATCATCTTGGATCGATCAAATGCACCGAATATCCCCAAGCTGAATAGGTTCCTGCTGCTGTTCATCGGATTTGTGTGTGTCCTACTCAGCTTCTTCATGGCTAGAGTATTCATGAGAATGAAGTTACCGTAAGTAATTTCCAGTGTCAAGTAACTTCTAGTTTTTATAGATAATAAAATATCCACTGAAGTTACTCCTCATCAAATCAGATATTTTATGTAAACACTAAAGTTTTACAAACAGTGCTTGGATTCTGTGCATTGTGGTACAGTGGATTCATTTTGAACTCATGGATACGCTTGGTTTGTTCATAGTTTAAGTGAATGACTATTTATAGGGCTTGTACACCATTAAAGGGATTCTATAGTGTAAGGAGTACAAATCTGTATTCCTTACACTATAGTTCCTTCTGACCTTCTCCTCTTCCCCCAACATTGCAAGGTTTACAAAAACCCTTCTAACACTTTCCTGATTCCAGTGCCAATCTCCCTCTGTACTGGGTCGGCGCTCCGCTTCCTGCAGTGTTACCCAATGAGGAGAAGCTAATGTGCATGTCCGGCGTGCGCCCCAAGCGCATTAGACTCTCCTTATAGGAAATAGGAAATCCTATTGGGATTTAACTGACACTAGATGTCCTCATGCAGCGTCAGGCGACCAAGAGTAGCCTAACCAACAGCAAGTGCCTTTACTGGCTGACTGACAGCCACTAGAGGCGGTCTTAGTCCTGCAGTTTAATCTGAAATGATTTATATTGCAGGACTAAGTGGGACTGGGACACTGCCCCCAGACCACTTCAATGAGATGAAGTGGTCTGAGTGCCTATAGTGTCCTTTTATCAGAATATTTTAACCAGTTCCAAATTTATCCATTAATAAAGTGAGTCTAGGGTGCCCAGCAAACTTGGAAGGAAGGATGGAGTTCTGTGACTCATTATAAAAGACTACTGTGCTTTTCTGTGTGTTTCTGTAGGATTTATTCACGAAACTCTGAATTGTAAGCCAAAGTGCATAATTTAGGCTAAAATCGCCAGTCTCTGAATTTTTTGAGTTGGAGAATTTTTGCAGATCAGCTATCTTGGTCTAAATTTAGCAGTTTGGCTTTCAGTTCACTACAAACCCATGCTTCGTAAATTCTTATGTGTCTAGTGTATTTTTCTCTGTGTGTGTCTGCATGCTTGTATACCCATTCCTTCTTGACTAACATTTGGGGCCTCTTAAGAGCTAATCAGATTGTAACCAATCATCTCTGAATGGAGGTGTACTTTGAAATGTTAGAAGATGGCAAGCATAGGATGTCTTCATTAAAGTGCCAAATACTTCAGTTTGCTTGCTAAAAAAATTACATTTGGATCCATCGGAAAGAGCACGTGAGGATCTTCTCAGAGCATGGTCCAGCAGTATAATGACTAGTAAGAAGTACCTAGCTTGTTGGAGTGAAATTTTTAGTTACAATTCGAATTATTGATGTAGCACCTACATATTACACAACGCTGTATAAAAGGAAACAAGACAAACGTTTTGTTTTAACAAAACATGTGACTTATTGGCAGGGTTCTCCAAACTTTGGCTCTCCAGATGTAGCTGAACTACCAATTATTTGCTTCTCTGACTTTTTAATTCAAAGAATCATGGGAGTTGTAGTTCAGTAACATCTGATGGCCCAGTGTTTGGAGAACCATGACATATGGAAACAGTAGGTTTACATTCATGCTGTCATGTGATGAGCGATACACTTTGTTGTGCCACTCTGTTTAATAGATGGCAAATATCCAGTTTCAATATTATTTTTAACCCATTTCTAGCAGGCCAGCCCTTTTTTTAACTTCTCTTATTTTGTTTCTCCTCATCACTTGTAAAAAATAAAAAAAAATAAAAAAAGCAGTAACATTCATGATATTGTTATCTGCTGCTGGAACACATACTCATAGACTTAATATTACCAAGTTTATTTATACTGTACAGAATAAATGGGTAAGATCCCTATATACCCTTGCATGTTTTTATTTGAACCATTAGGATCTTATTCAGCTCTGTGTGTGTTTATAAATCCACACAGCAGCTATAAAACATTACCTTATTTTACCTTGCAATGATTGCCTAATTGTGTACGGGAATGAGGTAGACAGAGCTTGTCAGTGAAAGGTATTTCTGCCATCTTTTACTTCTGGTAGTTCTGCTCAGAGAAATCATCCTGTACTTCAGTTTTTTTAATATGGTGACAGAGCAAGACATTTGGATAACTGGAGAACAGATGTCGAAATCCTCTCTCACAGGGTAATAAAATTCACATGTAAAGGCTGACATTACCTGCTGGTCCTAATAAGAATTGCGTTAAGGCTGCAGTTATACGTTGAGTAGTGGGTACTGCGAGTCTGGTAAAGCTGTGTGCCTGCAACCTGTCACTGTCATCCATGCATCTTTTTATCACAGCAGCAGTGGACAGGACAGGAGAACCAATGTTTTTGGCATAACGCTCAAAATACAGTGTGATAGAAATGTCTTCCATCATTGACTCTGTGAAATTGGTGTGGGCTCATTGTCTGTAGTGTGTGTGTGTGTTACCTGTGCGTAGTGTGTAGTCTGCTAGCAGCATGTAATGTTCTGGGTTTGTGGTACATGGTATGCCAGTGCAGACCACAGTAAAACTGGCTTGTATTCCTGGCACTCTCTCACTGAGCGCAAAGGCTGGGAATACCGGTGGCAGAGCGTCTGCGCTCTGACTCATTAGTGAGCTCTGGACTACAAGGCAGCAATTACAGTAGTCTGCTCCCACCAGAAGTGCAGACCACTAGCATGCCACTTGTTCTTGCCAGGGCTAAAATAATAAAAAAAAAATTAAAAAGAAAAAAACAGCCTGCCTGTTTGGTGCCTGAAAGTGCATGTCCCAGGCATTGAGTTATACAAATTCCACATCCATGATGCTTGCAGTATTTGCCTGTAACCTTGTCTAGTGGTTCCCAAACCAGCCGTCAAAGCCCACCAACATTCCAGGATTTAACCATTCTCCAGTTCTGTTCCAGTGTGTTTACTGACACAACTGTTTTGTTCCTTAAGGACTGGGATGGGAACCACTGGTGGAATGCAATGCTGCATATATCTGTATATATTTTATTCAACTCTTACTGCAGTAGCAAGATTTTAACACAAAGTATAATGTAATTTTTATTGGAAATGAATAAATACTATAAACTTTGTAGAATGTAGAAATGTAGGCTTCTAAATATGCATTGAAAGGGATACTCTAAATACCAAAACAACATTAATTTAATGAAGCAGTTATGGTGTATAGTAGGGATCGACCGATATTGATTTTTTAGAGCCGATACCGATACCGATATTCTGTGAACTTTCAGGCCGATAGCCGATATAATTTGCCGATATTCTGTACATTTACCATTTTGGAAAATAAAAACTATTTCTAAAGGTAAATGCACAAAATATACATGCCACGTGTAGTGGATGCAGTGTGACAGGGGAGCTGTGTGTGTGTGTGTAGTGGATGCAGTGTGTGTTTTTGTGTAGTGTGTGTGTAGTGGATGCAGTGTGTGTCTTTGTGTAGTGTGTGTGTAGTGGATGCAGTGTGTGTCTTTGTGTAGTGTGTGTGTGTAGTGGATGCAGTGTGTGTCTTTGTGTAGTGTGTGTGTAGTGGATGCAGTGTGTGTCTTTGTGTAGTGTGTGTGTAGTGGATGCAGTGTGTGTCTTTGTGTAGTGTGTGTGTAGTGGATGCAGTGTGTGTTTGTGTAGTGTGTGGGTTGTGGATGCAGTGTGTGTTTGTGTAGTGTGTGTGGAGGATGCAATGTGTGTTTGTGTAGTGGATGCAGTGTGTATTTGTTTAGTGTGTGTAGTGGATGCAGTTTGTATTTGTTTAGTGTGTGTAGTGGATGCAGTTGTATTTGTTTAGTGTGTGTAGTGGATGCAGTGTGTATTAGTGTAGTGTGTATATAATGAAAGCAGAGTGTTTGTGTAGTGTGTGGGTAGTGTGCGTAAAGTGAATGCTGTATATACTAAATGCAAAGTGTGTGTGTATATAATGAATGCAGAGTGTGTGTGTATTTGTGTACTGTGTGTATAGTGAATGTAGTGTGTGTATATAATGCAGTGTGTTTGTGTAGTGTGCATTATATAAACACACTACGCAAATACACTGCATTATATACACACACTATGCAAACACACTGCATTATATACACACACTACACACACAAACACTGCATTATATAAACACTACACAAACACACACACTGCATTATATACACACTACACAAACACACACTGCACAAACACACTACATAAACACACACCGAATTATATAAACACACTACACAAACACACTGCATTATATACACACACTACACAAACACACTGCATTATATACACACACTACACAAACACACACTGCATTATATACACAGTGTGTTTGTATAGTGTGTGTATATAATGCAGTGTATTTGTGTGCATTGTATACAAACACACACTATACAAACACACATTGCATTATATACACAGTGTGTTTGTGTAGTGTCTGTGTATATAATGGAGTGTGTGAGGGGGAATTTTTTATTAAATTATTTTTATATATATATATTTAATTATTATTTTTTGTCCCCCCTCCCTGCTTGTTGCCTGGCCAGGGAGGGGGGATATAGCAGTCCCTGGTGGTCCAGTGGTATTGGCTCACCTCCCAGCAGCTCCTCCAGCTCCGCAGTGCAACTCTCGCGGCCAGCGTGTCGCGCTGCCATGGTGACCCATGGCAACGCTCTGACGGCGGCGGGTCTCGCGAGAGTTGCACTGGGGAGCTGGAGGAGCTGCTGGGAGGTGAGTAAGCGCTTGCTCTCCGCCCCCCCAGGACCGCCGGGCTTGTAATGAGCCTGGCGGTCCCAGGAGGTATTATCGGCAATATCGGTATCTGAATTGGCCGATACCGATATTGCCGAAAATACCGAATATCGGCCGATTATATCGGTAAAACCGATAATCGGTCGATCCCTAGTGTATAGATCATGCCCCTGCAGTCTCACTGCTAAATCCTCTGCCAATTAGGAGTTAAATCAGTTTTTCTTCTGTTAATGCAGCTGTAGTCACACCTCCAGGGCTGTGACTCTCACAGTCTACATGTAAAAGTTTTTCATTTTCAATCAGTCCGTACAGTGTGTTCATTGTAGAAGTTTTTATCTCCTGCTCTGTTAACGGAACTTAAATGACACACATTAGACTCCTGTAGGCTCTAGTAGGCTATTAGAATTTCTATGCCTTGCAAAGATTTTTAAATATGACTGTTTACAAGTGCAAACACGGTTTACTTTGGTAATAAGGGGTTGTGATATTACGATATTGCACATTGTTATTACCAACACATGTTCACGAAACCATTGTGTCTTTTATTCTTTTGCAGTGGATACCTCATGGGCTGAATGTAACATTTGCCTGCACCAAATACTCTAATAAATTGCAGTAATAATCAAGGAAGAAGAATTACGGCCGCTTGTGGCAGAAAGTGTGGGACTTTAAGTATGAGAGATGACCAGAAAAGCGCAATCTTCCTTAAAAGACCTAGCTTGTCAGCAAAAAAATATTTTTGTAGTTGTTTTTCACTGCTTGTTGTGTCCATATTTGGTTCAGAATAAAATAATCCTTTGTTAGTTAGCATTGTTTTTAATGCACAATAAGATTTACGATTTGTACATACTAAGGGGGACTATTGGGAACTTAACTTTGCTTATCTTTTGGGAGCTGATCTGATTGGATGAAATCGTAAAGCATGAATGGCACAACTTCCACCATAACGATCATTATAATAATATAATTTATAATTATCACCTGATTAATCCATTTGTAGAGGTCAAAATGAAAAGAAATTCCACATTTATTTATTTTTGAGAAAAGTTGTTTTTTTAAACTTTATTTATCACAGTCCCTGATTTAAATAGTTTTTCATTATCCAAATTTAAAGTGCTTTTCTTTTTCTTCCCAACCCAGTCTGTAATTGCTCGGAAGGGTTTATTGCCCCCCTTTCTTCTCCCCTATGGTCATAAAGTGTTAACTCCAAAGTGCTCGAATTTCCTGATCACAGATCAGAGAATTGGTTCCCTGGTTCTGAAAATACTGTTTGCTTCAATTAGAGTTTTGCCAGAAATAAGCCCGTTTTGTACATCACCATTACAAAGTAAATTCTTTCAAAGTATGAGATTTATTGGGTCTGCATATTGGTAACAAGCTGTGCTGTTTAGTTTATTTTTTAAAAAGTGGTGGTTTTTTTTCCTTCTTCTTTTTTGACATGCTCTGCAGGAGGTGGTATGTAAATCAAACCTATGCGGTGCCATACATGCGCATGCTTGTCTGACACAATGTCTGAGTGGACATGCGCTTGTATGCCATGACTTGAAGTTGCCCAACTGAGACTGTTCTTCTATTTCCAGCTATCACGTTCACATTGCCTCTTCAGTATTAAAAATGTAAAAAAACAAACAAAAACAGACATCCCCCCTCAGGGACAAGTGGACATTGTGGAGCAAACAGCATCCATCTTGTTGGGTAAAGGCAAAAGAGGTATGTATTTGCTGCAGCTTAACCATGGTAGACAAATTAAATGGTGCGATACAAGAGGCAGCTGCAGGTGGCCAAATCATTTTGCTCATCAGCGAGCAAAATAAACAAGAACTGTCTCTATAGCCATGGTGATCGCATGAGCCATAATCGATGCACCGTCTTGAAAGGTAACGTTTCAGAGTTACATTGCAGGCGTCCCTATCAGTAGCAAAGTAGAATTCATTGAGCAAGTAAAGACTATCACTTCAACAATTGGTGACAAAACAAAATCAATTGCAGATATAGTCTATATATAAGGAGATTATGCATCTCAAAATGCAGCAGATATCGCCCCAATGAGAATATTGCCGTATGCTCCAGCCAGAGATGTTTATAGATATAGATGGATTCATCCGAGTCTCTCAGGAGCAAGACATGCAGGTTTCCATCTCAGGATTGAAATATTAACCCATCTCATGGAAGAATAAAGGATTATCATTTCAGGGGTTGTGCAGAAGTTATCTTATTGTTTTTCCATAATCGGTCCAAACAGCCACATTACAAATTTACATCTTTGTGTTTTGTTTTTTTTAACAATCCAAGGTTTTTAATTTCATATAGCACCACCAGAATTGTAGAGGCTGAGTTATGGATGTTTATGCCATCTATTTCACTTAAACGTTTTCTAAGCTCTTGGCGTGTATTACTCACAGGTTATGTAGTAATGCCATCTTACTGCTCATCCTGTTTTGTGTGTGTCATGGTAACCTGAGAAGAGGAGGAAAAAATCTAGATGTCGTTCTGTGCTTATGAAGGTATATACAAACTTACCTTGTGTAATTGATACCCGGAGGCTCTCTGAACTTTTTCACTCACCTGGTGTCTCTTGTTTTTTTGGGATCCTCCGTCCCCTTGCTTGCACAGAGGGGCATATTGTGTTCTAGTTCCCATAGGAGAGGGCTGTCTGTCATTATTATGTTGATCTGTTTGTGCCCTATTACCGATAATACCTCAGTGTGCCACGGTTGATCTAGAGAAGCTTTTTGAGAACTGTTCATAGGACAAACTCCTCACATCCTTGTTTGCCTTAATAGCAGCTCACTAAGCTTGTTTGGCAGCTCAAGGAATTCTCTGGGCCCCTCGTTCAACCAAGAAGTCTCTTATTTCTGTTTGTCTTGTTTACCCAGGTTTTTCTCTGTATGCTTTGGACAAGCAGTTGAGATCTTCCTGTCTTGATACAAAAAGAGAATTCATGGTTTTATTTATTACTGCAGTGTCCAGTTTATATTTGCCCATTTAATATCTACATCTAAGCTACAAAACTGTTATAATGTAAGTAGTGAGTGCTTTGAGGTAAGCATACTATTCAAAGATACCTAGTCAAAAACAATTATTTTTGAATTGGAACAGTAAATATCTTCTGAGATTTCTTATTATCCCTCCATGTATGGTTTAACCATCAATTTTACATAGGGATGCGAGCATTGGTTTTATATTTGTCAAGTTTCAAAGTTCTCCTGTTTGGGAATTGATAAAAACTATTCAAGATAATTGAGCTGCTGATGAAGAATAACAAATGGTAACATTTTAAACCATGGCTGTGTTTGCTGTCTACAACAATCCATAATTAGATCCACTATTATTTTCAACTCTGGGCCCATCAAGTATGTAAAATAAAACTGTCATCTACAAAACATAGATGACAATGTCACATTCACCTAGGTATATATTTAAAGGAACAATATAGGGTCAGGAACACAAACATGTATTCCTGACCCTATAGTGTTAAAACCACCATCTATCCCCTCTCCCCCCCTCCCCCCCCCATTACCCCCTTGCTTCACTCTATATATAGACAAATCTTTTCTCTGAAAAGACAGTGTTTACAGCAAAGAGCCTTAAGGTAATGATTCTACTCACCAAAACAAATTCAGTAAGCTGTAGTTGTTCTGGTGATGATAGTGTCCCTTTAAGCAAATTCTAGATACAATTAGCTGGAGACTGCTTCCTTTACATTCAATATTATCCAATCATATCTTAAAAGCAAATACAGAAAATAAAACATCAACACGTGGCAGAGCCACTTTAATGAAGCACTATTGTGCTTATTAATCTTATCAAATTAGATTATTAGATAGTCACGCATTAAAATGAATATCAAATCAAAGAAATAAATCAATAATTTCCTAAAACATATGTCACTTTATATTATACACAAAGTTAGGTCATCTACTATCACATAGAAATATAAAACTTTCTCCCTATATATCTTTCATGCTTTATACCACTAGAGGGAGATGAGTATAAGACAAATGCCATTGAGAAATTAAAACGTGATTATCTGAATGCATAGTTTAAGAGGTCCATGAAGAGGTTATAATAAGCACCTCACCACTGATCCAGTGGAACATATTCACTAAACTGGGAGTTGTTAAAGGATCTCTCTAACTTTAACAGCTTGCTGTAGCGGTAAAGGCAGCAGTAGTGCCCTGTTTAGGAATTCCAACCCTCTGATGTTAGTAGTGGAGACGGAGTGAGGGTTGCTGGACCCTGGATGAGTTGTCAAACCAATGGGGGCTGCTAGGGCATTCCTGGCAACATAACCACTATAGAAAGCTGTAGTGGTTATGGTACTTGGTGTTCTTTTAAGAACTGGCAGCAGAGATAAAACCAAAATGTAGGTCAAAATAGCTAAGTTGTAGAAAGATTTTTATATATATATATATATTTTTTTTTTTTTTAAATTATTATTTATTTATTTATTTATTTATTTTTTCAAGTTTAGATGCTTTTCCCTAAAATTAGATTTTCCATACTAGGGTTTAGGCTTACTAATACATACCTCTAAACCAATTTCGGCGGGACAGTCCTAATTTTCGGGTCCTTTCCTAGAAAACTGTCCACAACAAGCATAGCATTAAAGAATCATTTAACAATGTCTGGATTTTGCAATTTAGGCCTCAAATGGGCCTGAGTTTGGCTTGTGTTTAGCTGGACCGAACGCTGGCTGCTGGATTTCTAAAATCACAGCGAAATATCTAGTAGTCTGCAGGTTACAAAGCCAGCCATCTGCCACATTAAAAAGTATATATAAAAATAGTCATAAAGACCCCCACAGTAACTATAATGGAGCATAGGGTGGTGGCTAATTGACAAAATAAATGGGGGGACATGCTTATGTCCCCATACTATGGTCAGCAGATAGGGCTATTATAATATTTTTGGGGGAGGATCTAGTGTCCTGCCCTCCTCCTAGTGGTGGTGGTGAGGCCCCTAAAATTATTGTTCGCTTGCATGAATTGATCTTACCTGATGCATTTGGTTCTGAATTTATTAAAACTGATACTTTGCAATTCCTCTGAATCCTATAGTTTGTATAAAATTTGGATGCGAAAGCACCGATTTTAATCCAGACACTGCATGCCGCAGTTTAGTTAGGGAACAATGAATTACACACCATATTTTGCTTTAGTAAATATAAGAATTACCACTGTGGTTGGAATCCAGTCACTCTTACTGGATTTCGCCCAACTAGACAAAATCAGGTGTTTAGTAAATAACCCCATTAATCTCGCTAAGCTGTAGTTCAGCATCAGATGGCTGCACATTGGCAGATCGGGGGGGGAGAAAATAGTGCTGCCCGAGGCTCTCCTCTGCCGGCCCATGCAGGGCTGGTGCTATCCAAGCACCAGCCCTGCTGTTTGCCATCACGGACCGGATGGGTCCTACACACTGCACCACACACAGCCCCTTTACACACACACAGCCCCCCATACACACTCAGCCCTCCTTACACACACAACCCCCCTTACATACACAGCCCTCCTTACATACACACACAGCCCCTCTTACACATACACAGCCCCTCTTACACATACACAGCCCCTCTTACACATACACAGCCCCCCTTACATACACAGCCCCCTTACATACACAGCCCCCTTACATACACAGCCCCCATACACACCCCCAGCCCTCCTTACACACACAACCCCTTACATACTCAGCCCTCCTTACATACACAAACCCCTTACACATACACAGCCCTATATATACACAGCCCCCATATACACACACATAGCCCCTCCTTACACACACAGCCCCCCTTACACACACTGCCTCCCCTTACACACACTGCCCCCCCATAAACACACATAGCCCCCAATACACACACTGCCCCCTTATACACATAGCAGACACTGGGTAAGTTATCAAACGTTTTTTTAAACGGTTTGACTACTTACTCTGGGAGGACACCACAGCAAATCCTGGCACCAAAACCACTACAGAGAGCTTTAGTGGTTATTGTGCCTGGATTATTTCTTAAAATGATCTGCCAGTGCCCCTCCCGAGATTAGCTTCTGGATCCGCCACTGTGGCTGCATTGGGCAGATTCTCTTCCAGCTACAAATGTAATTAAAAAAGGGGAAATGCAGGTTCATTGTAAATATTTAATAATCTACCTTCTATGGAATTCGGGAGAGATACTGGTTCATGGAAATAGTTTTATTTTTTTTAAATGTTTCATGTTTATAGGTACACACATAATACAGTTACATAGGTACAGATGCATGCAATATATTGGTAGACACAGAATTCTGATGTTGTCGAACAGGCAACAACTAGGTAAGCAATAATACATAATTAACTCCTAGGGTTGGAGGACAAAAGTAGTGCTGCATGTTGGTAGTGCAGAACCTAGATATCGTCGGTCTTAAGGTTGGGAGCTATGATGTATGTTGCCGTCTGGGAGTTACAGGAGAACTGTGTGACCTCACATTTTTAATATCTTTACACCTTGAGGTATTCTTAAGAAATAGTAAAAATTTGTTAATTCAAAAAAATTTAAACAGATATTAGAGGGGAGCACAGAACATAACAAGGAAAAAGAAAACAGAAAAATTGAGATACTTGCTCTACATAATCATTTTTGAGTGATGCACAGCGCTTGCTTATCGCACCTATTTAATACTTAGTATTTGTCACCCAATACCCTCTCCCACCGTGGGGTTTATGCCCACCAGGTGATCTCTCCCACAGCTAGGTGGAGGGGTTCTGGTGTGGTCTGACATACACGTAGTGTTCTGGTGTCCACCAGACTTTATGTCCATCTGGACCAGACCCTTTCATACTGCTCTATTGTGCTTGCAATGGCATATGGTACTTTTTCATATTGTTGCGTGAGGTTCACCTTTTTGATAACCAGTGTGGGTCGGGCCTACTGGTTGATTTCCAAAAAGTGGCTATACAAAGTTTTGCTGCAAGCGTGATATGGATGGTCAGTGCCTGTTTAGCAAACAATGTGGTCAGTATATGGAGTAGATAACTCTCTGGTGAGAGGGGTAATGTCTTCCCTGTGCTTTTTTTCTATTAATAGTTGGACTCATTGCCAAAAGGCTGTGAGTTCTGGGCAGTGGCAGAAAATTTGGCTTAGGGTGCCTACGCTCCGGAAACAACGCCAACACGTTTGGTGGGCGCCTGGGTATATGGGAGCTAGTTTCTGTGGAGTGAGGTACCATCTCATCCACATTTTATAAGCTGCCTCTATATGGAAACTGTTTTTTTAAAAGTACATATACATAGTGTAATAAAACATTTAGAACATGTGAACCAGAGCATCTAAAAATGTAATTTATGAAAATGTGTAAAATTACCTTCTCCTCTGTGCCACCAGGTGTCGCTGTGACCAGCAAACCAATTTGGTTCTTCTTCTGTGAATTTCTCTTTTAAAGGGATAGTTCTGCTTTGTGAAATAAACTGTGATAAATATTACGTGTGTCAAGGTTATTTACAAAAGTGAGAATGCATGGTGAATTCAAAGTGAATTTCAAAATGGGGAACTTGAAAAATTCTCTAAGCCAACTATGCTTTCTGTTACTTTGGCCTTAAATTTTAAATTCTCTCGGAACGCTTACTTTTGTAAATAACCCTGTATGTGTAACAGCTATGGGACATTTTAGTGAACGCGCATCATGAGAGATGCAGGGAGAGAGAGGTCAAAGTTTCACTCTAATTAATGCAGAGTAAAGGCATAAATCATTGTCAGACCTAAGATCAGGTGGGATATATTTATCAAAACACTATTAGGAAAGACTTGGATTTTGAACTATATCTGGTAATGTATATGGAAGGGGACAGTTCAAAGTCAAAGTGTATAAGGAAGGAGCTGATAGGAGTGGTGGAAGAGGCAAGGTTTGGTGACTGGCAGGATGTGGGGAGTGCAATAGATTTCAGACTCAAAGAGGACTCAGAGGCTGCAATCCTTCTGGGAAAAGTTAATAGTGGCACCATTAACTGGAAGGGATATCGATAGAAGAAGAGTTGTGATTTTGAGAGATTCAGTTTCAGAAAGTGATCCAATCAGCCATCTAGTCAGAGATGGAGGAGAGACGGATGGAAGTTGATCTGGGTGTTGTCAGGATAAAGTTGTTATTGAAATCAAAGAGAACAGATCAAGTTAAAACAGTGAAGTGTGAGAACGGAAACTGTGCCCACAATGGAACCCTGAGGAACGAGATAGTAAAATGGAGAATGTGCCTAAAAAGCAGACACTACAAAAATCACTGTGAAAAGTAAGAGGAAAACCATAAAAGAGCAGTATCACGATTGCAGAGAGACGAAGTTGGTAGTCAACAGTGTCAAAAGCTTTGCAAAGATCAAGAAGGAGTAATAGAATGTAGATACTTGTAGGTTTGGCAACAATCTAATTTGGGATGAAAGAAGGGGAGAAAACATTTTAGTGAGAGCAATGAGTGAGTTGTATTAGATGAGGAAGCTAATAGGAGAGGCAGACTTTAGTAAAAGCTGAAAGAGAAAGAAGAACAAGTCTTATGTCATCGCATACTGACCTGATACATAGGTGAATCCTCTATCTAGGCAATATCTATATTGACTATATGTTAGAAGACTACTCAACCTGAGAATGATGTACCACACAACAAAACTATAGCCTGACTTGGTGACTTTATAGGTTCTATCCAATCAGCCCACCTACAAACCCTCACCATAATTGCCAGTAGACATCAGTGTTCAGTTATAATACACTGTTATAACAAAAAAAGTGTACACTGGCCAAGGTATTTCAAAGCATACACATTACTCCTTGTGTACATGCTGATATATTTCACTCGCAGCCCAGCTTTTTATGGCTCTCTGGTGTTTAAGGGTTGCCAGTCACCAAGACCTGCTCTAGGCTCTACATGAGAACTGAAGTCACTGCCATTTTAACACCAAACACTTGCATTATGTTGACAGAGAGATCCATGTGAAACAGTTCGTAGCCCAGCTTCAAATCACAATGCTGGGTTTGGTCTGTCTGTGTTGTCTAGGGGATACCTGTTTCCAACATCATATGTTACAAGCTATGGCATGGTCTGTAAATTTGTCCAGATGAGAATCACACAGTAATCAGTTATTCTGCAGCCTCTTAGCCTAAAGGCTAAAGCTCATGCTTATGAACTAAATAGCTGGACATAGATTAAATAGCTGGACGGGCACATCATTCTCATGGGCAGGTCCCATTCATACAATTAAAATGATTATTCTACCAAAGCTAGTATATACTTTACATATGTTGCCAATAGATATTCCTAGCATTTTCATTTCTTTCAAAATTACTCAAGCACTTATCTACTCATTTATATGAGAGTTTGTATTACTTCTGTACTAGATTTACCAACTAATAAGGGTGTCATGGGAATGGCACACATACTAGATTACTACAGTTGCAATTTTAGCACAGACAATTAACTTTTGACTCTCTAGAATAAGTAGACCTAGAAAGAAGCTAGACTGACAAAATGCTCTTGCTAGACATAATATGGACTCCAAACAAGTCCACCATCCCTTCTCTTGTATACATCCCAATACAGTATGAGATTTCTTCCAAAAAAAATTGGAGACCCAAAAAGGTTCTTCATACTTACCCCCTCATCAGATTTATCAGCAATGAAAACCATCAAGCCTTGGACTGAAAAAGACATCACAAACATATCACAGTTACCTTTCAACCATAATAGTGTAGCACTTTTTAAAATCTTATTTCACCAGCAGGGGGGTTCCCAACCCAGTCCTCAAGTACCCCCTGACAGTCCAGGATTTAAGGATTACTCAATGTTTTGGAAAAAAACACTTTAGACACAAGGGTTATCCCTAAATCCTGGACTGGTAGGGGGTACTTGAGGACTTGGATGAGAACCCCCCTGCTGGTGAAATAAGATTTAAAAAATGTTATTTGAGCAATCAGGGTAATATATATATATATATATATATATATATATATATATATATATATATATATATATATATATATATATATATATATATAATATTTTATAAAAATAAATATAAAATATTAACATATAATTAGATATAATTACATAAATACACATGTAGGATTTAAAGACATATATATGTATATATATTTAAATTGTACATGTATATTTATGTAATCTTTTAACATAATTAAGTAATTTTATTAATTATAATTTAAGGGAACAGCCTGACAACCCAGGCAGCAAGTCCAAAGAATTTAATTAGCAAGTCATATGTTTATTCCTGTAACTTTCCAATACACCATAAAACCTGGACATGGGGGGTACTATTGTACTTGGGAGACTTCGCTGAACACAAATATGTGTGTTATAAAACAGTAAAACTTATCACAAGGATGATATCACTAGTAAAAGTGCAGTTTTTGTGTAAAAAATGCAAAAAACAAATATGAACGCTAATTTTGGCCAGCGTTTGTGACTACGTGACTACCATAGTTTGAACACCCTGGGTTGTCTACTTTTTCAAATGGTATGCCATGGTGGGGTTAATTTTAATTTCTGGGCTGCCATACCATCTCAAACATAGCCAATTTGGCAAATTTCAATTAGCAAAAATAAAAATTGGCAAATCTTATATTTGACCCTTTAACTTCCAAAACACCATAAAAACTGTACATGAAGGGTACTGTTGTACTCATGAGACATTACTTTACACAAATATGAGTGTTTGTTTTTAGAGCAGTAAAATTTATAATACTGATGATATCATCGGGGAAAGGGCAGTTTATTTGTGGAAAATGCAAAAAAACAAATATAAACGCTAATTTTGACCAGGGTTTGTGACTAAATGGCTACTAAAAAGGACTGGACATACCCCATTTTGAAAACCCTGGGTTGTCTACTTTTACAAATGGTATGCCAAGATGTTAATTTTCATTCCTGGGCTGCCATACGGTCTCAAAGGCAAAATAGGCCCAGCAAACCAATCTGGCAAATTTTAATGGAAAAGGGGAAATCCCTATAGACCCATGTAAATTTCCAAAAACTCATAAAACCTATACATTGGGGGTACTGTGGTACTCGTGAGACATTGATGAATACAAATATGTGTATTTTATTGCAGTAAAATCTAACAGTATTATGACATTCCCAGTTAAAATGTCATGCCAGTTAAAATGTTATGAAAATAACACATTTTCTTAATTTCTCATACTTTTTTAGATTTTATTCACATTCTGTTATGTTTCATATATACATATTTGTTATGAAATGAAAGCCCTGTTTCCCCTGAATAAAATGATATGTAATAGGTGTGGGTCCACTTAATGTGAAAGAGGTGAATTACGGTTGAACAACATATAGCGCAAATTCCAGGTTTTGTTTACGTTTTGTTTTGACCACAACTTGTACAATTGGCTCCATCCTTAAGGGGTTAAAAGAAGAAAACTTAACTACTCACTTAGATAGTAAAGTAACAGTATTTTCTATCCGGGCGGCTCCTGTAAGGAAAGATGGTAATTATTTAAAGGGACACTATAGTCACCAAAACAACTTTAGCTTAATAAAGCAATTTTGATGTATATATCATGCATCTTAAGTTTCACTGTGCAATTCCTTCAATCGTACCCGTTTTTCCTTATTTAATTGTGTAAATAGATTAAAAGAACACACCAAGTACCATAGCCTGGAGTCCACTGGCTACCCCCTCCTCCACCCCTATTTTGAACAGTCCACCACTTTTGAATAGTTTGGCTTCCTACTTGGGGCCTGTCGGGCGCTGCTCCCCATACTCACTCTACTTACGCTGTCAATTACCAGATTTTACTATTAACATGACGTAAAGTCATGATTTTATTAATGACACGGAGGCGAGTATTATGCATTCTCTTTCTTTATTATACTCCCAGCAGCAAGAAGAGGGAAGTATGAGAGAATCATAGAAAAAGAAAACCATAACAGTATCCTGGTAACAGTAGCACCAATCAGCATCCAGTATAATCCATATAGGTGTAGTGCTCCTTGACTCCTCCTCTTTCTGCGTAGATCCCGAAGACCATTAGTGCAAATTTTCAAGTAGTCCAACCATAACTACGAATTCACGAACCAAAACCATAACTGGAACTTCGATTTAGAACCGTTTCAACCGCCAACTCTCCAGTTGTATTCAAGCTAAAAGAAAGGAGAAATATGGTAATATCGAAATCTCGTGACTGAATTCCGCAACCAACAAGTCGTCACTCATGTTAATCAAACGATGAATTACATCAAATCTTGACAGCCATATTGCTAGATCGAACTGCGTATCATATAAACCACATTCATAGAATACCCACTCACCTGTGTCATGAATGACCATGTACCTACCGTATGAAGTCATCATAACTGCTTCATGTTCTGGTTGTAATTTACTCACCACTCCGGGTAGGGTGGGAGGGAATAATACTCGCCTCCGTGTCATTAATAAAATCATGACTTAAGTCATGTTAATAGTAAAATCTGGTAATTTTATTAAAGACACAGAGGCTCCTATTATGCTATTTTAAAGCTGAGCAACCACTGCACTGGAGATGTGTTGCACTGGGCGTAAATAGAAATTACGAAATGTAGACTCATTCGACCAGTCGGCTGCCCGTAGTATATCCTCCAATTTACAACCTATCATGGATGCTTTAGAGGCCATAGCTCCGCGAACAGAATGCGAGGAAAAAACCGAGGTGTCCACGCCTGCCATTGACAGCAACCATTTGACCCAACGAGCTAAAGTAGCCGTAGATACTGGTAGGTGAGGTCTTTTGAATGAGATGAACAGTGGATGGGTGTGTCCTGGACGGAGTGAAGCCGTGCGAAGCTCGTATTCTTTCAGACATAACACAGGGCACAAACTTGGATTGTCCGGCAATGATGGGTAGAACACCTCCTTGGTCGAGGATTTCGTTCTCCGTGAAATATTAAAGGATACTCCGTTAGGGACAAAAATACGTGTATGCCAGTCTAGCGCCCTGACATCGGCAACTCGTTTACATGACAGTAAACAAAACAGCATCAACAGTTTGGCCGACAATTGCTTCAGTGAAAGTTCCTGGTTCTTTGGCAAAGACTCGAGCAAACGTAACATCAGATTGACATCCCAAAAGGAAGAATATCGAGTCTGAGGAGGTCGAGTGAGACGGATGCCTTTGAGTAAGCGACATATAAGGGCATGTTTACCTATTGGGGTGCCATCCAACCCCATATGCCTCGCTGATATAGCTGATCGGTACAGATTTATAGTGCGAAAGGCTTTTCCTTCCTCAAAGAGTAGAGTCAGAAATTGTAGGATTGTTTTTATAGAAGCTGATATGGGATCCATTGACTGTCCCATGCACCAATCAGACCATTTTCTCCAAGCCGATCCGTAGGCACGTCTGGTACCTGGTGCCCATGACTCTGCCAAGAGACTGAGTGTCGCCTGCGAAACCTCCTCGAGATTCCATGATCTCCTGAAATGAGCCATGCCATCAGTTGCAGTAGGCCCTGGTTGACCAGCTCGTGACTCATTCCCTCTGGGTTGGTTAAGAGGTAGGGAATGTCCGGCAACAGTTGTGGGAAATCTATCGACATTTCCAATAACTGAGGGAACCAAGTTTGTGATCTTCATAACGGGGTTACCAGTGCCAGCGTCCCCTTGGAATATCGAAGGACCGTTAGGGTTCGAGAAATGAGGTTGAACGGGGGAAACGCGTAGTTCCTGCCCTTGGTCCAGTCCTGCAGGAATGCGTCTGTTGCCAGAGCATCTGGATCCGGTCTCCAACTGAAGAATCGAGGAAGTTGGGTATTCAGTCGAGACGCGAAGAGGTCTATACTGAAAAGGACCCCAGAGCCGAGAGAGAGGCGCTGAAAGATCATTGGGTGGAGGTGCCAGTCCCCCGCGTCCCGAAGGTATTGGGAGTTCCAGTCCGCCATTGTATTGTCCTGCCCCGGAATGTACTCCGCTATTACTGAAATGCTGTATCTCAGGCAATAGTGCCAAAAATCTCGAGCCATCAAAGCGAGAACCTTCGATTTCGTCCCCCCTAGGTGGTTGATATAACGCACCGCTGAGACGTTGTCCATCTTGATTAAAATTGAACATGAAATGCCTGTGGGGGTCATACTGCGAATGGCAAAAGACGCTGCCAATAGCTCTAGGCAGTTGATGTGTAACTGAGACTCTTCGTTCGACCATCTGCCACCGGTGGAAACTGATCCGCAATGCGCGCCCCAGCCATGTAAGCTGGTGTCCGACTCTATGACCAGGTCCGGCGTCGATCCAAATATCGGCCGTCCGTTCAATGCCTCCATGTGTGTTAGCCACCAGTCTAGTTCCTCCCTGGAGTCTTCGTCCAGTGTGACGCAGGTTTCGTATGAGTGACCAGAGCGTAGGTATGAGGCTTTGAGTCTTTGTAGGGCACGATAGTGTAGCGGCCCCGGGAAGATCGCCTGTATGGACGATGCCAACAGTCCTATGATCCTCGCAAGTTGTCGGAGGGAAATAGTCGTACGATGCATAAGCCGTCTGATCTCCTTCTTGATCGAAATCATTTTGTCTTTGTGTAGACACAACCTCTGTCGAACAGAGTCGACTTGGAAACCCAGAAATTCCATCTGTCTGGAGGGTTGTAGAATTGATTTTTCCCAATTCACCAAAAATCCTAAGTTTTGGATAAGGTGGATCGTCCAGGATAGGTGAATGCGAAGTTGGGATTGAGATTGGGACAGAAGAAGGATGTCGTCTGGATAAATTATTAATCTGACCCCTCGTGTGCGCAGGAAGGCAATCACTGGTTTTAGCACTTTTGTGAAGCACCATGGAGCGGAGGATAGGCCAAATGGCAGACATACAAACCTCCATTTCGCTCCTTGCCACTGAAATTGCAGTAGGTTTCGGTGCGCCTCTGCGATCGGGATGGTCAGGTAAGCGTCCCGCAAATCTATCTTGACCATCCAATCCGATGGTATGAGCAGGTCTCGAAGGCAATGAATACCCTCCATTTTGAAATGGTGGTATTGGACAAAAGCATTTAGAGGACGGAGATTTATTACTGGGCGTACTACGCCTCCTTTCTTGGGGACTAGAAACAAATTGCTCACGAAACCTTCTGTGTCCCATGGGATTTGTTGAATAGCGTGTTTGGACGCTAATTCTGCGATCTCTGTAGAGATCATCACCTGGTGTTGGCTGGTCATAGTTAGTTCTCGAGGGAGCTGTGTCTGAATTGGGTAGGAGGTTAACTCCAATAGGTACCCTTGTATCGTATTTAATACCCAAACATCTGCGGTTAACATTCTCCAAGCATGATGAAACAATGCCAGTCTGCCCCCCACTTTTACATGGGAAAAACTGAGATATTCGGCACTCACCATAAGGTCTTCTGCTTGAAACAGACCCCCGTGGTCCACGGGAACTCCAGGGCCGTCCCCGAGATGGGAAGAAAGGGGTATAGTGTCTCTCTGGTACCGGTCTCTGGTTATTAAAGGAGCCTCTGCCGGCTCTAGTTGAGCCTCGAAATCCACGGCCAGGCAGACGGCTCCTTCCTCTGCCGGCCCTTCCAAAAACCCGTGGTGCAAATACTCTCTTAAGAGATGTCTGAGCCTTATCAATTGCCGTAAACGTTTTAACGTACAGCCCAAGATCCTTAATAAAGGATTCACCAAATAATAAGCCTTTAGCCGCTGGGCCCGGCTCGTTGGTCGCCATGTTGGTCAGTTTTGGCTCTATTTTTAGAAGAATCGCCTTGCGGCGCTCGGTAGCCATAGCCGCATTGGCGTTACCTACCATGCAGACTAATCTCTGCAACCAGCCTATCGCTACCTCGAAATCAAATTCGCTTTCGCCCGATTGGGCGGACTCCACTAGCTCATAAAGCTTAGTTATGGGTCCCAAAGTATCAAGGAATTTATCTTGGCAGTTTTTGAGGGAAAAATCCAATCCCTTCCTTGGCTTCCAACCCGACTTGTTCAAGAATTGGACCAACTGAGGGTCCACGTCCGGTGTCTTTTCCACCGAGTCTGGGAGGATAGGTCGTGGGCATTCTGCCCGTAATTTATTGCGCCCCTCTTTTGATAAGGGCTTTCGCACCCGAAGTGCGAGATACTTAGCGATGTGAGTAGGCGGCTCCCATGCCGCCGATCGGGGATGACGAAGGTCATCTGGGTCAAATAACGGGTTACCCAGTGGGTCCCGCAAATAGTCGCCCTCACCAGAGCCAGGAGGCGTAGTGCCCTGAATCGTACTCTTTTGGGTAGCAACGCCTGTTTGGATGTCAGACCCGGAATCCGAAAATTCTGCGCTGTAATGATCCATATAGGGATCCTCATATTCTTCCTTCACACTCCGGTCCGAATCGGACGAATCCCCATGGGCACGTGCCCGTTTCCAAGTTCTGGCCGATTTTGCCCGGCCAGGGGCTCTAGTGCGCGGTGGTATCGCGCCATCTTTGACAGCCTGAAGCGTGTCATTCGATGCAGGCTGAACCTGCAGTTCTGGAGGGGAGGTTACATGTCTGCTTTTTGCTAACGCCTTACGTCCCGGTTGAGCCACGTTAGTGGGTACCGGGTTGCGTGTGTTCTGCATGCCACTAGTCTGTGTTTGTATCAATGCCTCTGTTATAGACTGAGTGATAGAGGACGACATGACCCCCATCGCAGAGGTCAAAGCTTTGTTAATGGATTGTGTCATGGTAACGTCCAGGAGGGACTGAAACTCCTCAGATGCCATGAGGCTGGCGTCACTTTTACTTCCCTTGTTAGAGGGGGAAACGCCTGATGTGGGGCACATGGACCCTGAAGGTCTGTCACTCTGGTCCTGCATAGCAGTTAAAATCTTTACAGGGAATATATACCCTAGTTCAACTAGTGGAAATATTAGGCCAGTAAAATCCACTTATACCCTTGGTATCAGTTAAAAGTATTAGCAGAGTGTTTAATCTGTAAAGGAATTAGCTTAGGAAAAGTTAGCAAAGAAAATGGTGTCAGGATAGATTAATCCTCCACACCACACTTACAGTTTAGTAGACAAACAAAACCGAAATAAACACTGCAATTATAGACCAGTCTGGGTCCTAGGAGAGTGCTTGGGCGGGTAGGAGAAGCCGGTAGAAGGATTATTCAGCAAGTTCCCGCCGAAATCGAGCTTAAAATGGCCGCCGCGAGTGTAAACTTACACTCCCGGCGACATAAACCAAAAAGATGGCCGCCGCGCTATCAACTGCGCATGCGCGACCGGGCCGCAAGTGGAAAAATAAATTCAATGGCCGCGCATGCGCGGCCGGCCGCAAAACAGCGGAAATACCGCGGAGGTAAACCGAAGGTGCCAAGCCAAGCACCAGAAGCCAGGTAAGTAGCCCCAGTCACCCAACAGAGAACCAATATGTGGGGCAGGGAGAAATCACTCCCCTGAAACAGTTAGGCAGCACTCTCCTTAACACCAGAAGGGCATAAAACAGAAAGCACAGAATGATATAATACTAACTTGTAATAATATCATCTAAGAATCATTCAATTAATGTGCAGTAATTAAATACAAATAAATGTATAAAATTCACAAGAGAAAACAAAATGAGGTACTTAACTTGTCTGAGGGAGCAGCAAGAAAGAGGAGGAGTCAAGGAGCACTACACCTATATGGATTATACTGGATGCTGATTGGTGCTACTGTTACCAGGATACTGTTATGGTTTTCTTTTTCTATGATTCTCTCATACTTCCCTCTTCTTGCTGCTGGGAGTATAATAAAGAAAGAGAATGCATAATAGGAGCCTCCGTGTCTTTAATAAAATCTTCAGTTAGCTTTCCTGAGTGCAGGTCTTAGCTCATTGTCTGAGAATGATCAGCTGATGCTCAAAGCCAATGGGATAGCCTTGCACTGCTACCGAAAGCTCTGAAACAGGTTACTAGTTTAAACAGGTTACTAGGTGAGGAGTGGACAGATAAGATGTCAAAGCATTTAACAACGGTTTGACTACTTACAAAGTGTGGGGCCTCAGGGCACTCCTGCAACTATAACCATAACAACATGTAGTGGTTATGGTTCTTGGAGTGTTTTAAGTGAGGAGATTAATCAGCTGATTTATCTAGCTGCATGCCTTGATTAAAAATATAAAACGTTTGGTGGTTCGGGTGTGAACATTGAATAATAATAATGATGATAAAATAGCTAACAGAACCATATAACACCTCCATTCTACTATGCTTAAAGCTTAATTGAATTAATGTTTTTTTCCTTGTGTACAAGTTGAAAAACTATTTTGTGCTCATGCCAAGAAGACCTTATATGCCCTTTTGCTTAGCAAGCAGCTACTGATGGTTTTCTCAGGGAAAGAAGGATTTAATAGACAGTGATTACACTTTTTCTGCAGTTTAAGCACTTGGCTCCATGCAAAAAGAACTTTTATTTACTAAGTCTTGAAAGCATTTACCCTTTCTGCCATTTAAAAAAAAAAAGCTGTAAAATGCTGACCTCAAAACACAAACAGCTGTTCAAGTCAGTCAGCTGAGAACCGGTTTCTGTTTGATTTGCAAAAGTTCCTTTAATGAGTTTAAGACGCAACTTTCTATGATAAATACAACAAATAAAAGTAATCAGACGTGTACACTTATATAAAAATTAATATGAACACTGTGAAACCTAATTAATTACGTTTAATGCAGAATAATATAGAAATCACATTTAATGTAAATACAACATATACTGAGAGCTTTGCCAGCTCGCAACCAGTCAGGTCATTAAATACTCGCAGTCCAGTTCAGCTCAAATTCTTAGGATTTAGTTAACTCGGTAGGCATTCTCTAAAAAGTTTAAACACATCTGTTTTTAGAGGACGCTTGTACAGGTGAGACACTGTTTATTATTGTATTATTGAATGAACATTATGAGCACTGTAACCACTTCAGAAGAATGTTGCCATTATGGTTCCAGGACTGCCCTGGTGCTCCCCATCCCAATATTAATAGTCACATCCTTTACTTACCTTGAGTCTGCTGGGCACTGTGTCTCTTCATCTTCTAAGCTAAGTGCATCAGTGCTGAGCCAGCTGACTGGCTAACATCTGAGGTTGTAAGCAGACGGCTATCAACCAATGAGATAGGTCTAGCATTACTGACTCAAAGCTTCTGGGCTACAGAGGAGTGCTGTAGTGGTTATGGTGCTTTAGCAATCCTTTAAAGGAGAGGGTGTGTACTAAGGCACCCAGTCCAAATCTATTAAACTATCTCCATAATTCATCTTTTGAATAGCCCTAATATCCACTAAATAATATTCTCTGAATTAGGTATTTATTTAATAACCCTGCCAACTACATCGTTCGGTTGGTCTGAACTCTTTAAGAATGAATTGTTCACCATCAGTTTAGAGTTCTTCCAAGCAGTAGTGTACTAACACTCCCATGTTAGACAGTAGATTACAGGCAGTAAAGAAGTGCACAGGGCAGCTTCCTCTCGCTCCAGCTGGTACCTACCTACATGTGATGGAACCACACATCAAGTGGTTCCAAAACTCTCATATAGTGAATAATCCCAATAGAAAACACCTTTTTGTTTTTTGTAACATTTGATCTTCTAGGTCTAGGAGGAAAGGCTCACATTTTATGATGGCGCCCCTTATGACTGTCTCCTTCTCTGCTAAATACACTACAGCTTTATGCAGACTAAATAACAAACCATCATCAGATTTAAGCAAGAAAATTATTTGTTAGGTTAATGTTTAAGCAAATGAACTATGTATCTGCTAAGAAATGGTTTACTGTGAAACAAAAACATTTTCACAATTGCTGACAGTTGTTGATCAAGAGAGCTCTAAGAGTCCATCCTGTTCTTTTAGTATAATAATAAATCCAAGGAATCTTCGCACCAAAACAAACTGTAGCTGTCTCTTAACAGGAGAGCAACTGCTGAGACATGTAACTACACTGCCTGGCCAAAAAAATAAATTGCAGACAAAAAAAGGTCACACATTCTAATATAGCTTTGATTACGGCCCGCATTTGCTGTGGCATTTTTTCGATAAGCTTCTGCAATGTCACAAGATTTATTTCCGTCCAGTGTTGCATTCATTTTTCACCAAGATCTTGTATTGATGATGGGAGAGTCGGACCACTGCGCAAAGCCTTCTCCAGCACATCCCAAAGATTCTCAATGGGGTTAAGGTCTGGACTCTGTGGGGCCAATCCATGTGTGAAAATGATGTCTTATGCTCCCTGAACCACTCTTTCACAATTTGAGCCAGATGAATCCTGGCAGTCATCTTGGAATATGCCTGTGCCATCGGGGAAGAAAAAATAATTGATGGAATAACCTGGTCATTCAGTATATTCAGGTAGTCAGCTGACCTCATTCTTTGGGAACATAATGTTGCTGAACCTAGACCCGACCAACTGCAGCAATCCCAGATCATAGCACTGCCCCCAGTGGCTTGTACAGTAGGCACTAGGCATGATGAGTACAACACTTCATCTGCCTCTCTTCTTACCCTGATGCACCCATCACTGAAGGTTCCCCACTATCCTTCCAGTTTGTAATAATGCGTTGGACAGTTCTTAACCCAATTTTAGTAGTTTCTACAATCTCCTTACATGTTTTCTCTGCTTGATGCATGCCAATGATTTGACCCTTCTCAAACAGACTAACATCTTTTCCACGAGCACAGGATGTGTCTTTCAACATGGTTGTTTAAGAAATGAGAAGCTGCTCATTGCATCAGTTGGGGTTAAATAACTTGTTGCCAGCTGAAAGATAATCGCCCATGCAGTAACTATCCAATAGGAGGCTCTTACCTATTTGCTTAGTTGAATCCAGGTGGCAACATTTTTTTTTTGGACAGGCAGTGTATTTCATACATTTAAGCATATGCCCTACTTCCACCAAGCAAATTAAGGTAAAACTTTATCAGACAGTCTATCAATGGAGCCTCCCAACAGAAGGGTCTTGTTTTGCAGACCGTGACTTACCTTTGGTGAAATGAAGGCATTTATGAGCACTAGGGTTAATATGTTTGCTTTGAGATCATGGGTAGCAAGTTAAATTTTTAGGGAGCAGAGTTGGAGAGAAGATTGAAAATTGGTTAACAGGAGTGAAAAATGCAAGTGGGCTCTCACAGGGCTATTCACTAAAAAGAGAATTCAAACTCAAATTTAAGGTCAGCACAGCCAAACTGGAAGAATTCCCAAAGGCACAGTTCTGTTAATTTGGCCTTTAACTTGAAATTCACTTTGACTTCTCATTATAGCAAATAACTCTGCAACTGAAAAGTAGCCATGACTGTATATAAAGGTTTGAAAACATCTAATCATTACTGTAACTATCAGCAAACTATAGATATGTCTTTACTTTAGCACTATTGAAAGGTCATTGAATTGTTTTGATATGTTGAATGTGGACTGTGTTTTATACTAAATACTGCAGATTTGGACTTTCTCCCCTACATCTAATG